CAAGCCTCGCTATCAACCTCACAACAGCTAATAGTCTAGGTTGATATCATTACCGGCTATTAGACCGGCGTTAGACTTCTGATCAAGAGGTCACGCGTTCGAGACTCGAGTGGTGCACCCTTTGGGGTTGGCTATGATTGGCCGACGACGACTAATAAGCCAGCCTCTCTTGTCTTTGCCAGTAGTACTATCTGCCTACTGGCTACTAGCCACTAAGTGCCTGCGGTCAAGGCCCGATGCAGAGCGGGACAAATGGTTTCCGTTAGCAGCCGGTGAACTTTCCTCAACGAATATCCTACTTTCTACTTACTTTTCCTGACGCCAACAACATTTATACTGTCCCGCTCACAGTTCACCTCAGGCACCCTGCATATTCCACGTTTTCTTGTCTTCACCTTTGACTATACCGACTAACCGTCCATTGTCTTTAATAGGTGACTGTTTCAGGCTATGATGACGATGGTATAAATTAACTTAAACACGGTAAACATATGAAAAACGAATAAATGAACAGAAAAAAGCTGAGCAACACAGGTGAAACTGCAGAAAACAAAATACTTGCACAGCCACCACACACATTTTCCAGCACGATGCCTACTGCTGGTAGAGGCCACGAAACCTTTATGTTTGTGCGAATGAAAGACAACAAACGGGACTGTATCAGCGGTTGGGCACCAAATTTTACAGTTATAAGCCTAGGAACATAAATTTGTAAAAATTTCTCGAAATGCCACGTTCACACACACGTAAGTGCAAACGCAATCCCTTCGATTTAACTTGTGGATCTAACTTGTAGTTATTTTGAAGTGCAACACAAATTGCAAGAAAAAAATATCTGATTGTTGATCAACTGTAATTGATCCCGAGATTTTCATGAATCTTATATATTTTAATGCACTCAATTTGTCACTTTCGAATCGATGGGATGGTCAAGCGTAGATTATCTGATGTATGCCATAAAGTCATTTCCCTATCGGTTGACATCTGGGCGCATTTTTTTTAAAAATCTGACAAGGAATAGACAGAAATGTGAAGACATTTAAAGACTATTTCATTGCGGAACGCGATAATGGATCGTAAGTGTTCTCATACTCTTCACTAAATCGTGCTATCAGCAGATAGGTAATCAGGATTTGGATTCGGAATTACCTCACTTGGCATACTTTGTGTATTACTTAAATTTGCATTTCTCTAGCTTTCGGGAAAAAGTATCCTTACACAAAACCAAGACACTATAATACAGTTCTGTTAATAAAGCATGCAATGACTCTAAATGCCAAATGGTGACAACATTAGTGGTATACTGCTTCGCTATCTCACACTGCTCGATTGACGAAGGGTTATTTACGGCGTTCATACAGTCGTGAAGCAGAAGCTATTTTTAATTGAAAAATATCGCGGCCTGTACAGAAGTGAAGCCAAAGTGTCAACAACAATATAATACTAACAAACAAAAAAGGCAAAAAGGACGTTCATAATGGTGTTCTTAAAAGTAAGATGTACAATCGACCCTCGACGAGAAATAGGTTTACCTTCTGCATCCAACATCTTTGGAATATCGAGGTACTTCTCGGCGACGTCAAAAGCGTAGTTCAAATTTTGGATGGGATTATCCTAAAAGGCAAAGTGGTTCTTCACTACAGCATGAAATGTCTACAAAAGCAAATACTTTTATACGAATAACAGGTTGCTGGAGCAAGACGTTTCTTGGCCCGAAGTTTCGGGGTTTCCCTTGAACGCAGCATTTTAACAGATGCAGAATAAGACTGGTAGGTATCCATTTAAGATATTGTCGGTACTTCAACAACAATCTTTTTTTGTCAAATAATAAGAACTATTACGAGTTTATTCACATTTTCAATGCTCAACAACAAAGGAAAAGTCGAATCCAACAAAGAACAGTTTCGAATTGCAGATTTCTTGCATAATATTTACTTTTTAAACTCATTAAGGAACAGATTTCGAATTTTTTTGTCTTGATTCTGTATTTGATTATTTTTCTGCAATTTAAGAACGCACGTTTTCGTATAAAAGCCGAAATATTTAATAACTGAAGAGGCTTTTGTTTACTTATGAGGCTTAAAACAAGACATTACCAAGAGAAACCGTCATAACGTATCACATTTGATTCATTCGCCCGTTTTTCTGAAACCGACTATAAGATGTAATAGAGCTATCGATATGGCGATATGGAGTTCCTGCAGATAAGCCAGCTGCAAGTGTTCGAGTCGGCAATGAGGTGTGCAAGTATAACACAGCATTCTATATCTAAGTAATTAAGATCTCTCGCAACGGGAAAATACTGCTTCCTTTATAAATAAAAGTTAATGTTGGACAGAATTGAGGGTTCGGATAGCAGCCAACGATACTTTCACGGAAGTAAAAGGTAAAGCTTAATTTCTTTCTTGTTCTTCGATCCAATTCATCTTTTCACATAGAATAGGAATCCGTCTGACAACATTAAAATAGTTACCTTGGAGAGTTTTGCATAATCAATTAGTTCCGGTCGATGACGATGAATGAGTGCACAGAATGCTAATCCATCTTTCCAGCTGCAAAAAAACAAAACAGACATTACATATAACTCTACAAAATTCTAAGTTATGTATACGTTTTTCTACATTGAAAATAAAATATTTACAAGAGGTCAGAAGGCGCTTCACCAAATTCGGAGTTCAGGCTGCTTGTAAGCGCATAACAAATGACTTTTCTGCAGATTAATGCAAGTAAAACGGGAAAATGGGGCTCATAGCTAATTATGTAGAAATTAC